ACACAGACAACCCCGTGACAACATGCGTTTTGTACTGCTGTTACACAGCACAAAACGCATAAAAACTCGCTGGCCGAAATCGCTCGCTTGAAAAACGTATGTGAAACAAGAAATAAGTGAGGGAACTTTTAGTTGTGTTATGCCCAGCCATCGTCACATCATCAGCCTCACGTATTCCCCTCACCTCTTGACGTGTTCTTTCTATCACGGAAAATGGATGTAAGCGTTAGACTAGACAGCACAACACTCACATTCAAATTTTGCTGATTACTCGGTTATTCGGTACGTTTGCTGGTCCGTGTATTGATTATACTGTTTACTTACCTTCTGAAAAGAAGTTTTATGATCTCTGGTCACAATCTGATGATTATAAAAAATTATGATAAGATGGAATGAGAAATACCCAAATTTTCAGCCAATCAAACTGGAGAATTCCATAACCCAGTTTGATGACGATGGTGCACAGCTGGTCCAGGAATTACTGGAGGTAAAATGCTCACAAAATGATTCAGGAACTTCTCGCAAATCAAACTGCCAGGTATACTTCACTGCATTTTTTTTTCTTGCATTTTAGGTCAAATTTTTGCGAAAAAACTTTTCGCGAGTCTTGTCGCCCAAAAATTGTTATAACCTTGCCAGATGTTCCTGCCGGGGGACATCATTGACCTGAATCGTTCAGGAGACGAAGCGAACGTCAGGGTCGCCAGCAAGCTAATCACTAGGAGATGCAATACTGGTCAAAGCAACTGGGAAAGTTACTACCTTTTTTAAGGTATTTAAGTGGGACAGGAGAATGAGAGAAATGTTGTTCCGTTTTTGTCTTCTTGGTTTGGGGTTCTGTTTTCTGAGAGGACATTCCCAAATTTGGATAATTTGGGTTATGAGAGGCCCAAAATAGGGTATGAATGCATCAATGATAAGAAACGCAATGATGCAAGAACAGCGGGTCAAAGCGAAAGTACCAAGAGATAATCCAAGCACGTTTGTTCCATTTTTACTTGAGAAGAATCAGACCGAAACATTTAGGCGATGGTTTTTAGGTATGTGACATGGTGGTTTGTAAAACAGCACGTCAACGACATGTTTATCAGTTCCATCTTGGCATTTCAAATCTTTTTCAATGCTCTGCTTGCGAATACACCAACAATAACTCAATATGGGAGATGCGTAAACACTGCACCGCAATACACCAGGGCAATGCCCAAGCAATTAGCACAGAAGAAATCCACAAAAATGAAATTCAGGTTCTTTCATTATCACTTTTATTATTACTATTATTGCTGTTATTATAGCTGTTATTAATCTCATTATTATCGCTACCGTATTATCATTATTATCATTATTACAGCTAACACAATTATTATTTCTGCTATTATTATTAATGCTACTAATGTGATGATTTTCATGATGTTTTTTTTTTTTGTGTAATTTTGTTAAAATAGCGCATTCAGGGATAACATGTCCGTGTGAATGTGGATAATTTACGTCAGAGTTGCAAAGCTGAGAAATTTCGGGAAGATTATCTTTGACAATATATTTGCTTATAACCAAAACTCAGTTTGCGTCCTTTACTTTGTCCCGACTCCAAATTCAGCCCCAGACTGTGAGCTGATTTCCTAGTTAAAGAGCGAGCAAACTAACGAACCAAAAAACATTTACCCCTACTGTAATTTAATCTCTGATCTTCGATTCAAGTTTGTGCTAACCGTAGAGTTCGGAATGGAAGTACAAATCTAAATTTTTCGGATTCTGATTCAGGGTAAGCCCAATCTAAATAACCCGGGTTTGGCT